CCCGCCCCCGCGCTTCGCCGCTGCCCGCCGCCCGCCGAGGTGAGCCCGGAGCGCGGGCCGCGCCCGCCGCCCCGACCCCTTCCACATCTGGGAAACCACCGCCCGAGCCTGCGGCCCCTTCCTGCCTGCCGCGCTCCTCAGCCCTCGCTTCCCTGCTCTCGGGCCGGACCGCTCATTCGCTCCATCCCTGGCCCCTTTCCTTCACCTCCTTCTGGCTTCTGCTCCCCTCCCCCTCCCCCCTCCTTCCTCTTTTCGTCTCATGACCCCCTCCCCCCACTTTCTTCCTCTCACCTTTCACGCTCTTTTCTAGGCCCCTCTCCTTTTTTTCTTAAAGAAAGCAAACCCCCTATTGCTGCAAAGAGAATTTTGAGCGTAACTCTTTTCGCTAATGCGAGAGACCTTTTAAAGAAATGAATCAGTGTGCGGGAATAGCGGTGGGGAGACCCAGGTGCTCAGTGTCTGGGAAGTCTGACCGAGAGGTCCCTGTTCTGTCGTTTCACTCGGGTCGTCACTTTGGAGATACTGAGGGTTTCTGAAGCAAGTGGGTCTATGTTTCGCCCTTCAAGTCCAAATAGACGACCGCAGTGAGACGCGGTGCGGGGACGGCCACAGATCAGTGAGTGGGAATTGTATTATCATTTGCTAAATATATTGTGACATACCCCATGCCTCCGTGAACAGCTCCCTTGACCTTGTGCGGCTCTTCCTCCCTCGCTCTCTGTCCCCGTCTGAAATTCCCCTGAGACATCACCGAAGTACTACACGCGAAAAGCTTAGACCCCCGCTTTTATTTTTGTGCTGGAGGCGATTTCTATGCTGGTGACTATTTAGATGTGTTTAATCCGTTTTCCTTCCTAAATGCATTTATCTTTCACCCCAGAAAGACAGGACGGACTCCAATGTGAGGATGGCTGTGACTTTGGAAGAAGCTCGGTGGCTGGGCTGGATCTTGGTGAAAGCACTGATGAGGTTCGCCTTCATGGTCGCAAACAACCTGGTTGCTGTTCCATCCTACATCTGCTATGTAATCATACTTCAGCCCCTTCGAGTGCTGGACAGTAAGCGGTTCTGGCATATTGAAGGAATCATGTATAAGTGGCTTTTAGCAATGGTGGCTTCCTGGGGATGGTATGCTGGATATACAGGTAAGAGAGCACTTTTGTTTGGTGCGTATGAAAAAATTTGTAATGTTTGCTTAAGTCGGGAGCCATGATTAAATATATATTACAGTTTGAATGGAAGATGCTTTTATGCTTTAACTATTGAAAAAATAAACAGAAAGCAGTTCTCTTGGGTTCTCTTCAGAGCCTTAATTAGGAAGCATGATGTTTTCAGAAGTATAATTTAATAATTATTTATTGTTAAGTTCCTTAAGTAATATATTTTTAATGTGATTGACATTTATTTTTTAAAACTGGTTTGCAAAAGCTCTTGTAGAGGAATAGGAGTGCGTAATATAGGACTTGAGGGCTTATAAAGTGAAGATGTAAGATATTTAGCCCATAAATATTGGGAATTTAGAGAAACGACAGGGCCATATTGTGCTAAGTTAGTTTAATAAGTTTTTTCATTTAATGTGATGTTGTATTGTGTTACATTTTAAGCCAAGCAAAAAATGACTTTTTTTCTGTTATATATGTTTCTTTTGCTTACTAGAATCTACATTTTATCTCATAAATCTGAGCATGGTTAAGCTAATTTATCTTCTGAGTGTTTTTAAATAGATCTCTTTCTGCTTTTAAATTGCATTTTGGGAAGCAGGAGTAACACTATTCTGAAGTGGGCTTCTGTAGAACTAAATGAGAAGTAGTGCTTATTTTCTGTTTACAAATCTTATGTGCTTTGAGAACTTGTGCCTCTGCTGCAAAAATTCTGTATCGTTCATTATAATTATTTGATCCCAACTCCCCTATCCCACCCCACCCCAAGAATTAGGATACTGGAAAAAGCATTGAGTTCTCTAGCACTTGTCAGACTTGGGGGCTTTTCTCACAGAAATTTATAACTGGTAGGCTGGCAACTTAGAGATCCTGCTGCAGATGCTGTGGTTCATAGAGTCTGTAGTTCATAGCATGGGAGAGTGAGGACGGTACGCTCAGGGTCCAACAGTGTGGCTGCTCTTCATTTAAAATTACCTGTCTCCCTCTCTCCTGCCCAGGCTGCATGTGCAAATTTTATTCATATACAGGAGAAAAGCACTGACGGTACACAGCTTTTATGGAGTCTGACAGACTCTTGCTATATCTGAGTGCTCTCAGTCGTCCCAGATGTAGCCTTCCTCATTCCAGCCATACCAGTTCTTATTCTGCAAGAGCTGAAGCCCCTGGAATAGTGTATGCATGGCTTTTTTGTCGTGTGTCTTGTTGAGATTCCAGTGCTTTTTGGATACAGTAGGTGATCTTCTAGTACTTTTTTAGAGCCTGGTGGTAGCGGTAGCAGTGGTAGAGAAAAAGTGAAGTTCTAGTCTACGGTGCTGAATTCTTACCTGAATTGCACTGCTGTCTTAGAACTGCTTTGCCCGGTATAGTTTGAGTGTTCCCAAATATGCTGTAGGGTACTAGTGACTTTATTTTTTGTACAGTGTACTTAAGTTTGCTTTTTTTTTTTTTTAATTCTTTTGACAGCTGGCTGGTGTGGGGATAGGAACCCTTGACCTTGGTGTTACAAGGCTTCACGCTAACCAACTGAGCTAACTGGCCGGCCCAGTTTGCTTGTACTAAATGAGCTAATAGTATTTTTAGAAACAGGTTCTAGAAGTTCATTCTACTTAAACGCAATGAAATTACTGAAATGTTTGCACTTGTGTGGGGGGCATATTTATATATGTGTTAGCATGATGGGAAGGTGAAAAAAATTAATTTGGCATTGACCTTGAGATTATAAGGAGTGCAGCGGTGCTGCTTGAAATTAAAGTTAGTTATCTAATGACCATAGCATGGCTGCAATGTATTTTTAAGAATATTTTCTTTGGATATTTCTTCCTTGCTGACTACAGAATTGTATAGTTTCTTTTGCCACCTGCTTGGAAAGTGGTCTTGGCATCATCTGCTTATTTTAGTCTCTCTGAAGCATCTGCTCTTCTCGGGCTCCCGCATTTTGACAATTTGATCAGTTTGTCTCATTTAAATATAGAATATTTTAGTGTGTATATTTTAAATGGTTTTTCTATAGGTAAAATACTTAAGTGCAGACGGTCTGGTTATATAGTCTGATCATAACAGAACACAGCCAAACAAATGTAGGAATGAATTTTGTTGAAAGCCACAACTGGGCACACCTAAGTAGGGGTTGATGAGCAGGTTTACCCATAAAAGAATCTCAAGGGTTATTATATTAGCCTTCCTTTGGGTTATGTATTTCATTTCTTCCTCTTGTGTGAAGAGGAAGGTGGCTTAAGATTTTTTTTCTTTCCCTATGCCTGAGTTTCACAGATGGAAAATTGAACATTGCCAAAGGAATTCTGCTTAGTAGATATAGTATGTTCATGTTTTAGAATAAAAATTGCCAAAACTTCATTGAAAAACTTATGAGGAAACATTAAATATTAATTAGGAAGAAGAAAGTTGAGTATTGGTATAGAATATAATTTTTTGAAATTATTACATTTGGTGTATGAGTCAATTACTCATCTGTGCTGCTGAGGACTTATGTTGATTGTTTAACCTACACTGCTCCATATAATAGCCATTAGCTGCATATGACTATTTAAATTTAAATTAATTAAAATGAAACAAAATTTAAGATTTAGTTTCTCATATTTCAGTGCTTAGTACTGGGTGGCTAGTGGCCACAGTATTGGACAGTACAGATACAGAACTCTTCCATTATCACAAAAAGTTCTATTGGACAGGGGTGGTAGACAGTATAGCTTTCTCTCTTTCTGAGAAAAATGGCATTTTATCTCTCTATATAAACAATCTTTCTCTAGTTCTAAACATTTCTTTTGGGGGAGACAGGAAGATTTATTAAAGTTTTATGAAATTGTCTCTAAATTTGAGGCAAACATCACAAAAATAAGTCCTTTAAACTCAGACATGCTTCTTGGATATGGAGAATGGTGGGGACGGTAAGCCCAGGACCTTGAATGAATGAATATTCTTGTACTAAGCTTGTGTTCTCAGAGCTGGAAAGCTACCTGTGGACACAGAAGATGGAAAGGAGATTTTCTTTTTTTTTTTTTCCTTTTTGTCTTTTTTCGTGTCCGGCAACGGACCGCAACCCTCAGTGTTGCGCCCGTACCGGACTGGGACCGGCAACGGGATCGCAACCCTTGGTGCTGCGCCCGCCCCTTGCTCAGCCAGTGAGCGGGAACCGGTCTGTATGTGGGATCCGAACCCTCGGCGGGAGCGGCCGGCCCAGGAAAGGAGATTTTCTGATCTTTCTGATTTTACATCTTTTTATTTTTAATGTGTTTTTTTTTTTTTTTTTCATTTTTATTGTGACTTGATGTCTTGTCAGGGGAACACATTTCTTGAAAGAACTCTGAAGACATTGGGGTTTGTTCATTCCCTAGCTTGATTCTAGGTAGTGATTGTTGTTGTCACATTTCCTTCTATACTGCCTTCACCCTAATATTTCAAGGGCAAACCAAAAGAATGCTAGCTTAACTAATGATCCACTTCTGCGTGCTTTATTTGGAACTGGCATAAATCAGTACTACCCACCCTACCAATTTTAGTGAAGATGGGCAAATACCAGAGAGAGATTTTGTACCAAAATAGTTTAAATAGTTTATTTTGATTTCATGTACTTATTTTAAATAAAGTCATTGTCATCCAAACACATTCAGTTTAACTCTCTATATATGAAATATGTAGTTTAAAGATATTTATTGTAAGTGGAAGCTCCAGAATTTGTATATAGAGTGAGAATCTTATGTGCATGAGTCTGGCTGGAAGGGAGCTGGGGTGCCAGGGGACTTCCTGTCAAGCTGTTTTTGCTTAGTAAATGCTATTTTTCTTGAATTGGATATTTACTTTGGGAGGCTTTAGGGAAAGCTAATGGAGATTAGGTTAAGCTTCCTGCCACTCTCCAAGTGACACCTGCCATGGCTGTATGTTAGTCTTTGTGGTTGTTTGATTATTTGATGGTTTCCTACTTTTTCCGTTGGGATACAAAATCATTGTATGAGAAAAATCAATTTTTAGGAATTATATCTGACCTTGAAATTCTAGAGAAAGTTTTTAAAAAGTATTTTTCAACCTTTGAGTCATAAAACCAATTTAATGAGTCAAGTTGAATATTTTTAAAAAGTAAAATAGAATTAGGTAGAAATGATCAGAGATGTGTGTGTCTATATTGAGTGGTGCTACAGAATGTGTTTTTTTATGTGAATGCAAGCAACATTTGAAAGACACTGTTCCAGTGTAAAGAACACTGCAATTTAGGAGAACTCTGGGAATCAGTGGTTTTGATGTAGCTTTAACAACTCTACTCAGTGCTGGGGGTGATCCTTACCTGCTAGGTGCCCACCAGGTCTTCTTTATAACCCTCCAGCCAGATTTGTTACCTGATGCTCGCAGAGTGCTATGCTTAATAGTGTCTATTTCTTGAATGATCCCTTCTTTTTTTCCTGGTGCCAACTGAGGTTCCTTAGCTGCCTGTCTTCCTGAAAGGTCTGATATTAAGGTCATTGCAATCTATGAAATATAAACCCTGAACCATATCATGTTTGTAGTATATATATAGTCTCCTACAATACTACATTTGTTAATTTTTTTTTTTTTTTTAAAGATGACCGGTAAGGGGATCTCAACCCTTGGCTTGG